TTGAGGGACAACGCAGGAGAGGAAGACCCTCTATGAGATGGATTGATTTGGTGACTGGGGTAATCGGGATGGGTGTGTCAGAGGCGGTGCATTTGGCACAGGACAGAGCAGGGTTTAGGGCTGTTGTGCATAGGGTCGCTATGAGTCGGAAACGACTCGACGGCACATAACAACAACAACAACAATACTCCTTGTATTTCTCACTCTTACTGACTTGATTTTTTTTTTTGTTTTAAGACCTATTTTCAGTGCTTTAGTTGGTTGTAAGATTAATTGATTCTCTCCTTTTCTTATTCAACTAATATTTTATTTTGACAATTTCACCACAAATTCATTCTGCCTACTCTTTCCAATTTTCCTGACATGTTACTGATATTACAGGGAGCTCTGGAGGCATAGTTCATAGAAAGTTATACCACTAACCCTTTGGAAATTTCTGTTTATCCCTTTAACTTTGTCATTTCTTCCTTTTGTCTTAATTTCTGGATGTTCTAGTGTAATATGTAGAGTCTGTTGTGACATCATTTTTGATCTTTAATTTCTCCCTGTCCGTAAAAACATTCTGTTTTCCTCATGAGTGGTATCTTTAAAATCTTTCTACAGCTCACCTGGTCTTTTATCATTAGTGATCAGTACCTCAAATCTATTTTAAGATGGTTTTTAAATTCAGGTGGGATAAACTCAAGGTCATATTTTGGTTTTAGTGCATTTTAATGATCCTCGGCTTCAGTTTTAAATTTGCATATGAGGGTACATAACAACTAGAATAACAGGGTTAACAATACCATTAAAGTTTCTTCTCTTTCTTTTTGTTCTTCCTCTTCTTTTATTTTTCTGTTTCTCTTGCCATTATTATTATATCTTAAAGGAAAAAACAAAAATAGACTCATTGTCATATAGTCTCAACTGGCTCATAGCTGACCCTCTGTTGGGTTTCTGAGATTGTAAATGGTGGTAAGGAAAGAAATTGTGCAATCTTGTGAGGAAACTTTCAGAGGGTCTTGACCTTGGATTTAGCAGCACAGTTCTCTGTGGAGTAAGCCATACTACTTTTCATTTTTTATTTTTAATTTTATAGTAAATATGCCCAAGTTTTGCCTATAGCTGTCATCCAGATTCTATCTCAATTGTCCTACTACAGAAGAAAGTTTAATTCTCTCATGTACAAAGTATTGACTTGAATAATTTCAATAAAATATTTCTGAGTGCTAAGTAATTTTCCTTACATGACTCAGCTTTTATCCCGAATTTGTCTTCATTGTTGTTTTATCCATCATTGTTGTGGTTTGTGTAGCATCCTTAAATAGCTACACTATTCTTAAAGAATTATCACTCATTTTGGATCTTGTGGTTTAACAGGTATAAAAACCTTGAATCATCAATGTCTTCGTGATTGGGTCAGCATGTTACTATCTCTCAGTCATTATCTTTAGTTTTTGGACAGTTGCATTTCCTGAATATATTTCCTTTATCAGGTTGTGAAGTGTTTCTTTGTCCCCCTCCCCTTTTTCCTAGACTTATGTCCTAGCTTTCTGAGAACAAAATAGGAACAAATGAAAAATAAGAAGAAATAATTTTCCAGTGATGCATACTTCTTGGAACAAAGTCTCTCTATTGATTTATTTCAAACCACAAAATTAGCATGCCATCAAATGAAGTATATAAACAGTCACAGAAACAGATAGACTATCCACTCAGCAACATCTTTTCTTCCATCTTGGAAAAAGGTAAGATTTTAGGTATAATTTAAAGGTATGATGTTCTAATTAACAATTTCTAACTAAGTTGAGATATAGAAAGACCACAATTGCTAATACTATTCCCTTAGAAAGAAAAATATTTAAGATAATTCAGATATTATTTTCACTTCATTAAAAAGATTTGGTAAAAAATAACGTACAAGATAAATGAGTCTAAGAAATATACTATAAACATAATTATATATGTTTAGAAATATATATAATAAATGTATATAATTATATATGCTGTTGTTGCTTTTAAATGTCATTGAGTTGTAAGAGACTCAAAACTGAGCTTTCAGTAGATTTCGAGATATTGTAAATGACATATATAGCTAGGGAGTAGGTTTTAGTAGGAGAAAATAATATTTTCTTAATTAAATATGTTAACTGAACATGCCACAACAGTAAAAACAAATGTATACAAAAATTATTTTATTAAAAACTTTCATACAATTGAACATATTAGCACTATTTGACAATATGAAGAGTTAAGTAAATATTTCATAATTTAATTAATTTTTTTCAAATATTTGTAGAATTTATATACCTTATAGCACATTCTTCCATTTAATTTCTTTCTCGTTCATTCATTGTTACACATTTTCCTCCCTGAAATTTTAAGCTTGATCATATGATAAGACCTCTATTAATTTGTTTCCTAAGATTGAAATGATTTTGTTGTTTTCTTCCTCCTGTGTCTTTGTAATAACCTTTTGCATTCTTCCAGGACGATATTCTTGATATCCTCCTACAGCTCATCTGGTCTTTGCTCATTAGTGTTTAAGGCTTCAATCCTCTTCCGTAGATGGTTTTGAAACGCAAGAGGGCTAGATTCAAAGTCAAATTTTAGCTCCCGTGGATTTGATTTAATTTTTCTTAGCTTCAGCTTGAACTTGCAAGTGAATTCCACAATTCTCGCTTGGACTAGTTTTCACAGCTGATATTGAGCTTTTCCAGCAATTCTTTCCACAGATATAATCAATCGGATTCCTATGCATACCATCAGGTTAAATCCATATGCATAGCCTGCATTTCTTATAACATGTATTTGCAATAGATAAATCATTGATTGTACAAAATTGCACCATTCTATCTTTAGCTTCATTTTTGTTCCATTTTCCAACTACTGATTCTTCTCTGTTCCCAACTCTTGCATTCCAGTCACCCAGTATTTATTATTAATGCATCTTGATTGCATGTTCATTCAATCTCAGACTGCAAAAGTTGGTAAACATCTTGGCTCTGATTGTTGGTGCATGTATTTGAATATACCATGGATTGCTAGGAGAACAAACAAATTCATCTTAGAGAGGATGAGATCAAGCTGCTCCTTAGAGGCAAGGATTCTGAATCTTGGTCCAACACACTTTGGACATGTTGTGAGGAAGGACTATTCCTTGGAGAGGGACTTCATGTTTGGGATAGTGAAGGGACAACACAGGAGAGGAAGACCCTTGATGAGATGCATTGGTTCAGTGACTGGGGTAATGGGGCTAGGTGTATCAGAGACAATAAGATTGGCACAGGATAAAACAGGGTTTAGGGCTGTTGTACACAGGGTTGCCATGGATTGCAGGCAACTCGACATCATATAATAACCACCACCACAACAACAAGATTTAAACATTCTATCATTTTTCTTTAAAAAAAATACAAAAATAGTTTACCTAAACAATAACTAAACAAAATATATCAGAAAGGCCTGACATTTTACTGTTTTCTCTTTATTCTTTCCATAGGACTTCACAACCATGAAGGTCCTCATCCTCGCTTGCCTGGTGACTCTTGCTCTTGCAAGGGAAGTAAGTACAGAGAGAAATTTCTACATGTTTGCTATGATGAGCTATGTATTCTTAAATGTTGAAATAATGCATAATTTTCACAGAGTAATTGACTTTTTGATTCAGCCCTGGTAACTCTGGGATTAAAATATCAGTTAGTTGACAAGCTAAATGTCATCTGTTTGAATCATTGCCTACTCTATGGGGGAAAAATGCAGCAGATAGCTTCCATAAACATTACTGACTTGGAAAATTTATAA